TGGTTGTCGTCGTCCATTCCAGTCAAACCTGGCTTGTGGCAGAGCGGGAGAATCGAGAACAGTTCGATGGCGAGTATTCGCTCCATGGGATCGTTGTGCCCGTGGATGTGACCGGGGGAGGCGGCCGCTGCGGCAGTCGAGACGGCCAGAATCGACCACTTCTGTCCTTGTTCGACGTCGCCGACGGCGATCGCGGCCTTGGCATGTGCGGCTGGGGTCCTTACCAGCGGCGATCGATGGCAAAACGGTGGGCTATGGCTGTGGTACATCGTGGAACAGTCCAGGATTGTCACTCGGAGCAACAACGTCGAATCGAGGCTGGCCAGCTACTTGCCTTTCGCAGTCGGGTTGTTGGCAGACGCTGGGCCGTCGTTGGTGTCCGTTGACGGACCGAGCGACCGGTGCGGATGGCGGCGGCGTGACGGAAAAGGTGGCGAGTGTTGCATTAGGTGGTGGTTGTCTGTCATGGTGTCCAGGGGCCTGCTGCCCGCGTCGTTCGTGTCGAGCTCGTCATATTCGTCTTGGGCAGCGTCGAAGTGGTGGGTCGTGGACGCTTCCAGGACGTGGTTGCTTTGACGCGCATGATGCGGTGTCGACGTGACAAACGTGCTCAAACTGGTGTGTCGGGGTGTAATGGCTCCGATTGAAGTCATAGCGAACGTCGGCGGCGGCTGCGCGGACGTCCCAGGAACGACGGAGACGTTGCAGATATGAATTGCTGCGAGAGGACGGACGGCTTGGTAGTTTGTGGCAGAAACGAGTTGGTCGAACTCGTGGTAGACGGCATCGGAAGGTGGTGCTACGACGTGTGGAGGACTTTGGACTGGTTCATCACAACACGTGAATCGAAGTACACGAGGCAATTGGGCCCGCTGAAGCACCCGCCCGATTCACGCCGAATGGGTTCGCGAACTGTGGCATTGTTTGTGGGTGTCGAAAGCCGGCCGACCGAGCTGAATGGGTTGTCGTCGGCATCCAGCCCATGCGTGCCGTTCGTGGCTAGAATGGCCTTGCTCGAAGTGAGCGCGTCCAACCGGTGCCACGCTTCAACGTTCATCATGCCGTTACAGCGGTGAACAAGCTGCTGCGTGGCGGAGACTGGCATCGTTGCAGAAGCAGTTGCATGAGTCATCTCATATGCGCCATTTGACAAGACCAGAGGTGGCGGCGGCGGCAGAGGAAGAAAATCGGCCTTCAAACATTCCAAGTCAAACTGGTAAGCGGACGGGTTGACGTGGCAGCCCGGGCGAGAGGGCCCCAGACGCAACCGCCCTGGTCACATGCTCAACTATCGCCAGCACGGACGTGGCAATTGTAGGCACTGGCGCCACGAGCTTGATCTCAGTAGGGCCAGACATGGTCATTTGCGTAGTCGCGGTCTCGTACGCAGCCGTCGTGGTCTTCATCGCACTGGTTGTGGTCACGTGCGTGTCGCCGTCTGTTCTGGGGAGATCACAGAGTGACGAATCGATGCAACATGCCCTATGGTGGAGGTGAAGCCCACGAGGGCGGGGAGAAGGTCCGAGGGTTTTGAGCCCAAAACCACGAGTAGTGGGTGTGTTGGCTGAGCAATGAGAGCGCTGTCGCGATGTGAC